TGCAGTAAAACACTCTGCAGGGTAAAACATTGCACAACCTAACTGAATTGTACTAAAGGCTAAACACCAGTCCAAAAGGTTCTGAGGTTAGTAGGTAAGGATGGTGACCCCACTGCTAAAGTTAAAGCTAAACTCTATGAAAAACAAATATTGTCTATACACAGGAGGCATGTGTATTGTTAGTTGAATCTCAGGGGTCTATATACAGTAGAGAAATGGAAAAACCTGTGAAATATGTAGCGATGCTGTCCCGCAGTGGTCGCCACGGGCGTTGGCGGAGTACAGAGCGCACCTCCCGCTGAATGCAAAGCACTGTTGGGCACTGGTGGGTGGCACTGCTGGGCACTGATGATCAGTGCCAATCTGTTCTCTGACAATTGCTTGTTATCGGCAGTACTTTCCTCATGCTGTGACAGCGTGAGGAAAGTGCAGCCGATATCCGGCAACTGTATTTACCCGGTGATCTGCTGTGTCATTGAACACAGCTGATCACGTGGTAAAAGGCCACTGTGATTGGCTTTTTACCACGTCACGTGATCAGCTGTGTCCGTAGGAACCCAGAGATGTCCGGGAGTACATCGCGGGAGGGCGCATTCTTGCAGGGCGTCATATGACACCCTGCACTCAAGGTGTCATACAGTATATGATGTGACAGTGCAAGACCCTGCCACAATGAACAGGGAAGTAGATATGATATTGAGTTTGCACATATGCAGGGTAGGGTTCTGTAATATTAATTCCGAATGGAGAAAGGTAGTTTTTCAACCTTCTCTGTGTTTTGGTATTCAAGGATTGGGTTCCAGAGTTTGGAGATTTCTAAACGTTTTGGGAGCGATGAAGGATTGGGTTCCGGAGTTTGGAGATTTCTAAACGTTTTATGAGCGATGAAGGATTGGGTTCCGGAGTTTGGAGATTTCTAAACGTTTTATGAGCGATGAAGGATTGGGTTCCGGAGTTTGGAGATTTCTAAACGTTTTGGGAGTGATGAAGGATTGGGTTCCGGAGTTTGGAGATTTCTAAATGTTTTGGGAGCTATGAAGGATTGGATTCCAGAGTTTGAAGATTTCTAAAGGTTTTGGTAGTGATGAAGGATTGGGTTCTGGAGTTTGGAGATTTCTAAACATTTTGGGAACGATGAAGGATTGGATTCCAGAGTTTGGAGATTTCTAAAGGTTTTGGTAGTGATGAAGGATTTGGTTCTGGAGTTTGGAGATTTCTAAACATTTTGGGAAAGATGAAGGATTGGGTTCCGAAGTTTGGAAATTTTCTAAATGTTTTGGGAGCGATGAGGGATTGGGTTCCGGAGTTTGGAGATTTCTAAACGTTTTGGGAGCGATGAAGGATTGGGTTCCGGAGTTTGGAGATTTCTAAATGTTTTTGGAGCGATGAAGGATTGGGTTCTGGAGTTTGGAGATTTCTAAATGTTTTGAGAGCTATGAAGGATTGGGTTCCAGAGTTTGGAGATTTCTAAAGGTTTTGGTAGTGATGAAGGATTGAGTTCCGGAGTTTGGAGATTTCTAAATGTTTTTGGAGCGATGAAGGATTGGGTTCCGGAGTTTGGAGATTTCTAAATGTTTTGGGAGCTATGAAGGATTGGGTTCCAGAGCTTGGAGATTTCTAAAGGTTTTGGTAGTGATGAAGGATTGGGTTCTGGAGTTTGGAGATTTCTAAACATTTTGGGAATGATGAAGGATTGGATTCCAGAGTTTGGAGATTTCTAAAGGTTTTGGTAGTGATGAAGGATTTGGTTCTGGAGTTTGGAGATTTCTAAACATTTTGGGAATGATGAAGGATTGGGTTCCGGAGTTTGGAGATTTCTAAACGTTTTGGGAGCGATGAAGGATTGGGTTCCGGAGTTTGGAGATTTCTAAACGTTTTGGGAGCGATGAAGGATTGTGTTCCGGAGTTTGGAGATTTCTAAATGTTTTGGGAGCGATGAAGGATTGGGTTCCGGACTTTGCAGATTTCTAAATGTTTTGGGAGCGATGAAGGATTGGGTTCCGGAGTTTGGAGGTTTCTAAATGTTTTGGGAGCGAAGAAGGATTGGGTTCCGGAGTTTGGAGGTTTCTAAATGTTTTGGGAGCGATGAAGGATTGGGTTCCGGAGTTTGGAGGTTTCTAAAGGTTTTGGTAGCGATGAAGGATTGGGTTCCGGAGTTTGGAGGTTTCTAAAAACGTTTTGGGAGTGATGAAGGATTGGGTTCCGGAGTTTGGAGATTTCTAAAGGTGTTGGTAATGATGAAGGATTGGGTTCTGGAGTTTGGAGATTTCTAAACATTTTGGGAACGATGAAGGATTGGATTCCGGAGTTCGTAAATTTCTAAAGGTTTTGGTAGTGATGAAGGATTGGGTTCTGGAGTTTGGAGATTTCTAAACATTTTGGGAGCGATGAAATCTCCAATCCAGTGTCCAGGCTTTGAGTGCAGGTGTGCACAGCCCTTATAATGAAGGGCCTGACTGAAGCTCAAGGCTCTCATTAGGTGACAGGGGTACTCCACTTTAAGAGACAGCACTCTACGCTGGAGGAGTGATTCTGTGTCCACAGGGCTGAGATGGTGAGATGGCTAAGCTAGTCTTAGAGACTGATAGAGCCAACATAACTAGGCAAGTCCAGGGGAGTGAGGGAACCTGGAAGTCTCAGAGGAGTGACAGAGCCAGGAGAGCTGCACTCCCCCATTAAAAAAGAAAAACCTCTCTAGCAATACACACCAAACTGAGCATGTGCATAGTGACTCCACACAATATATCTTATCAGGAGATAAGAGGGGGGCAATGGAAAAAGGAGAGAATGAGAGAAGACAGGATCAAATAGCGTTTGATTGAGATGAAGCTCTACTGACTTTTCCTTGCATGTGTTTGGGTATTCTTTGCATATTGAAATTTAACACGCTCATTAAAGTGTTACTAAACCCCGGACTCTGCATCCACTACATCTGGTCCCCCACAGTACACAGAACATGGAAGTGCAATTATTTTATTAAATATAAACATCTAAATATCTTTTCTCATCAAGTTAGAGCAGTCTTGTGACTTCTATCAGTGTCCAGCCCAGCACTAGCTAAAGCTTATAGGAGGAGTTTTCTTTCTGCTCTAGGAGGATGGGAATCTCCTGACCTCTGTCTGACCAGTGCTGATTGGTCCTGTGCTGATTACATGCACTCTCCCAAGAAAAAAAAAAACCTCTCTAGCAATATACACCAAACTGAGCATGTGCATGCCCACGGTTCAGTCTGGAGGTAAGTGATGGTCACTTGAAAAAGGGAGGAACAGAGAAGAAAGGATCAAACAGCCTTTTTACACAATGCTGAGTATTAACCCCTTAGGTTCCACAGTGAGTATAACAAGCATACTTTACTGCACATACAGCCTGATTTTATATTTGTGGGTTTAGTAACACTTTAAGCCAGTTTCAGATACTTGTGATCTGAGCTGTTGAGAGAAAGACTTCTGTACTTCTGCTGTGTGTGCTCCTCTCTGCACACACTGATCCTTTCCCCTGCACACACATTTCCCCTCCCTGTATACATTGCCCCATTGCCCCCTCCCTGACATATTCCCCCCTCCCTGCACATACTGCCCCCTCCCTGCACACATTTCCCCCTCTCCTTGTACACACACCTCTCTCCCTGCACACACTTCCCCCAGTACACCATGGGTTAAAGCTGATGCTGGTAAATGTACCTGTTGCAGGGTCTGCAATTTCTGGGTAGGCTGATAGTGGCTGGTGCTCCCGCTGTGATCTCATAGCTGCTTGCCTGTCCTCACTTCCATCCCTCCCCGCACTCTCTTGCAATGTTTATATATTGGCCACAGCAGCACTCCCATCACAATAGGAACCTCAATGCTGCTGGCTGAGAGCAAGTGAAGTGGCCTGTAGGGAACAATGTTCCATAGTTCTACAAGGTGCATTAGTGGAGCCGAGTGCCAGAATCTGTATTTCAGGAACGGACATCCAGGACACAGCCTGGATCTGCAGAATTCTGGGGTTTGATTAAATCTCAGGACAGTGTTGCAGAATCCAGGATGGTTGGGAGGTTTGAGTTTGTTGGGGGCGCATTTTCAAGCTCATTCACTGCTATACAAATGCTTGACACACAGTTGCACTTAAAGTGTCATTAAGCCCAGATAATTATAAACTGTTAATGCATGCTATATTAGAATCCATGCATACCCACTTTGCCACTAGAGCATTCATTTCTGTAGTTTGCAAAAAACCTGGTTAATCATGCTGTTCACTGTCCCTCCTGCCTTCTCTGTGTCCCCGCTGAGGCCTGAGATTGTGTAGATCAGGCGTTGCCACATTTACTGAGTATGCTCCTGTTCCTTTCTAAGCTGTTCATTTCCTCCTTTTCATTATCTGTGCAGCCAACGTAACTACAGAGTCACAGATGTGGCTCCTCCATGTCCTTATGCAGTTATACACAATGGGGATGGGATGTAAGATGGTTATTGATGGAGGCTTAACGTCCCTGTTAGTCCCAGCATATACACACCATAGATACAGGCTGGAAGGGTGTGACACAAATTGTGATTGACAGATCATCTTCCAGATATCTTTACAGTGTGAACTGTTGGAGTATAGTGTTCTAGAATTTTGTGCAAACAACCACAGATATATTTTTCAGCCAGTAGATAACAGTGTATAGATACATCTATGATAAACTCTTTATCTTTTCTCTGAAATAAAGTTCCTGTGTCCTGTTTGCAGAGAAGCAGCAGATAAACACATGTGGACTGTGAGCTGTCTGTTCTGTAGGGCTATATACAGAATTTCTAACATGAACAAAGTGAAAACTTAAACTCCGCCTACACCATGTAATTGTATAAATGTATAATAAACATTTTCTTTGAGATATAGATTTGCATGAAGCTTTAAAACACTTTATTGATAATAATTATTTATTTTGAGTTTCTATTCTTCAAGCCTTTTTTTCCCATATGACTTGCACAGCACCAATCAGCGCTGTGCAGACACAGATTCATAGTCCCGACCAGGGGAGGACTGACAACTCATGGGGCCCCCGGGCAATAGGGGATCATGGGGCCCCTGTGTCCTTGCCCAAACTCAAAAAAGCCTTTGAAAAATGTACCAGGGGCATCTCATGGGGCCCCCTACTGACCCCGGGCCCTCGGGCAGTGCCCGAGTTTTCAAATGGTCAGTCCGCCCCTGGTCCCGGACATCCTCTGCTGCTATAGAACATATATCAGCAGTGTACTAGAATCTCCTCCCTCATATCCCTCATATATTTTCATGAGGACAGGAAAGACATGGGAAATGTCATGTGACTGCTGAACAGCAATTATAAAATATGGTGCCCATATGCTTTTTTTGGTCTTTATGAATAAACAGAAGGGATAATATCAATCAAACATTGTATGTTTAGTACCATTTTAAGGCCCCTTTCACACGAAGAATCTGATCAAGTCTGCCTGTCAGTTTTTCAGATGGACCTGATCGGACCCTCCATTTACTTCTATGGACTGGCAGGTGTAAATGGACTTGTATTCATTTAAACCCACCTATCTCTTATCCAATGAGATCTGCAAACAAAACGGGAGATCTGTCTTTCTTCCATCTAGGTAGATCAGATCACAGGCAGTCAGGTGTAAACAGACGGAAGAGTTCGTTTACACCTGACTGCCCATAGAGAAGAGCAGGCTCAGTCTGTGGCCACTCTGCATAAACTGAGCAGACATGGACCTGTCATCCGCCTGCTCTGCTCTGATCTGTCCGCTGATCCCCTGCTGATCAAATTGGAGTCCACCCCATGTGAAAGAGGCCTTATGCAGGCCATACATGGGTTGAATTCTGAACAAATTTTCTATAGAAAATCAGAAATTTTGTGCGGTTTGGAATCCAACCAAGCCTTCAGTTTCACTTCATGTTGCTACAGAAAAGAATTTTCGTCGCCAAGAATTTTCATTTCTTTCCAGGTCACAGCTCATGCTCATTTTTTTTTCAATTACATTCCTTGCCTGATTCTTCCATCATTGATTCAAAATTCGTTTGTTTTTCAAAAAATTTCCAACAGGCCGATCACTCAAATTCAATGGTCAAACGGAAATCGGACATTTCTGTGACCCACTAATGGTGCAAAATTCAAATGAAAATTCTTAGAAAAGATTTTTGAAAGAAAATTCTTTTGCAATTCGACCCGTGTATGGCCGGCTTTAGTGTCTGTTCACACACCAATGCACATGCAATCAATTGAAAGCATTATACTTCAAATTTTGTCCCATGCCAGGAGAAAAGACTAGAACTTTAGGAACCTGCCCCTGTCTCTTCAGGTGTATATTTGTTTTGATACAAATTTCAACAGCTAATTATTATTAGAGTGGGTCATGACAATGCCTTCTGGCTAATTGTTCCTTTGACAAAAAAGAAAACAAGATCCATACAACAGTAATTCAATTTCCAAGCTCATAACTTGCATAGTCTTCTCTTTTCTGCTAATTAAGAACAGTGGACTAATAGGAATTCAATTAATTGCAGATGGCAAGACGCGCTGTAAGGCAATGACTTGGGATAATTTAACAATGACGGGGTCACTTACTGCAAAAGTAAGAACACAACGCTACAAGGTTGCTTCCCAACTAGTAACAATGTGCAAGCCTGGATAATGAACTTAAAACAATACTAATTAGCAGGAGCAGACAAAGGGATTTAAATTAAAGAATGAACGCTGTGATCCTCGCTGGCTGCTTGTAAAACAGCACTAAGCCAACGTAATCCTTTTTATTTTTTATTCTTTAATTCCATGTGATACGCAAAGTGCAAATGAACCGGATTGGTGGGTCGGGTTCAACTTCTGAGGAAGTGTGATACATTCACCTGTGACAATTCTTCCCAGAATGATAAAGTAAAAAGAAGTCTCGGAAGGTTTCGCGGTGGCTCTTTGGGGTCCCCAGAGATCAGGTGTCAAACATGTCTATCAGATCCTTGAAAAGGCAAGAGAAAAGGATTACTCGGGGCTATTGTGAGACAGTTGTCATTGACTGATCAGGCCTTTTGAGCAAGCTTTCCCAGTCAATGGAACCACCTGAATGGATGAAAGAGAGACAGCTACCAACAAACAAGAGACTATAATATTTCATTGGGCATCTGTGGAGGAAAGATTAATGTATTAGAAATTAAAATGGGCCCAGGACGTATGATCTTGCTCTAACACTTGGCCGGACCTGTGTCACCCTCTGCCTATTGCCTGAAGTCGAGAGACAATCCTGCCAAGGTAGCACAGAATCATTAAACGTCGTTCTATTGTGCCTAGTGAATAATAAAATTCTTCCTTCTATTCTCTGTCCACGGCTGACAATGAATAATTCCAGAGCTATTTGCAATGTTAACAGCACCTATCTGGGCCATCCATTTTTTTACGATAAGGATGAAAATATGCATTTCAACAGTCTGTACAGATACTGATTCACAGGCATTTGAAAGGACACCTGTCACTCAAGAGAAGGACCTGTCAGTCTTTAATGCATTGCGCTAGCAAGGAAACAGTCACAGCGATTATCAGTTCCTTCCTTTTTTTTTAAATTTCAGATTATAACACAGTTAAGTTTAGCGTGAACTGACAAGTGATTCACACTGGCGACAAAACGGACTTGCCAGCAAGACCAAAGCTATTTTCTTCGGCTGCCATATTCTTTTAAGTATTACAACTGTGAAATGTAATATCAAGCAATCTGATCTAGGTCTTGCTGAATGTCATTATGCTTAGCAATAAAGGCATTTAATCGGTTGGCTGACACAAAGGTGACCATGATAAAACAACCGCTTTGACGTCATAATCTGATGAGGAAGAAAAAAATGTTGCAGATGTCGGCAGCTTCTGTCAAATGTGTTTGTCAAAATGAAACATGTTTTGTTCGGTGGTAAACTCACATGATCCAATTGGTCATGGACAAAGCATGTGTCATGCTTGGTGGTAAATCATACACTGGGTGATGGAAAGGGATGGCAATGACAAGCTGATAACTGTAAAAGTGATGGATTTGAGAGGCATGACTAGTGAGATAATTTGCCTGTATTTTGTAGACTTTTTATAGTTACCCCATAGGAGGTGCCACTAGAAAAGGCTGTGAGATAGACTGCGGTCATCCCTTCTAGAAGATATCACCTGAGCAAATCCTAAGGTCATCCTCAACCAGGGTTCAGTGAAACCCTAGGGTTCCTCCAAAGATTGCTAGGGGTTCCTTGAGCTGCGACTGATTGACCTCCCATTTAATGGTGCCTGCATAGTTCCAAAACCAAATATCAATTGCATGACACTAATAATCTTTTTAATTATCTCTAAGGGTGACATTCTGAACAACAATGTAAGGGGGCATTCTTCCCACTGACCTACCGAATCAAATTTAGCAGGGGTCCCTTGTGACCTGAAATTATTTCATGGTAAAATGGCTGAGAAAGGCTGACTCGGGTTGATTTGAAAAAGGCAAATGGGCTGTTCACTTTGCAAAGGACTTTTCCTTTAGCTTAGTGAATGAGGTGAATAAAGGGAAACTTAGCTGGCTTTCATCATTCAATCATGTGCAAACAAAAATATTTTTTTCTTTTCTTTTTTTCTTATTTTCCTTGCATGTAATTGGACAACTTAATTTTCAACATATTCACTAAGCCGGTGTTTCTTAACCTTTTTTCAGTCAAGGCACCCTTTAGAATTCTGCAGAATCTCAGGGCACACCAGTCTAAGGGCTCATTCACACTAGAAGCTTTTTTGTACATTCCTGAGCCTCACATTCTTTAATGGGCTGCTCTATGCTTGTGAAACATGCAAAAAAAAAGGCGCTGGTATGATTTTTAAAATCATGTTGCACCAAAACACATGGTATTGCTATACCATGCATTTTTAGCTGGCACTAATGCAAATGCATTTACTAGATGCATGGGGGTGCCATTAGTAATTAATGGTACCCATACACATCTGCAAAAGGGAGAGCATATTTGTGCTGTGTGGGAATACGCATTAGCACTTTGCACCTATTGTGAACAAGCCCTAAAATGTAGTTTGTAAGGCAGAGTCCAGTAATCTGTAGGTTGTAAATCTTCTCCCTCAAAACCCCCCTGGTACCCCAAATTCCCCCCCAGCACAAACCCCCCTCTGAAACTTAAATGGAACTGGCTACAGGAGAAGTGACTGCAGCAGAGATGAGGAGAGAGCCAGGTGGGGGGTGTGGGCTGTATTCCCTTCCCTCCCTCCCTCACTCCAGTTCCTCCCCTCCTATCTGTATATTTTTTAACAGAGAATGCTCTCAGATCTGGTCTGTGCAGGGTTTGATTACCACACCCTATCCACAATTTCTGCTGCTGGGACAAGAGCAATCTGGGGAGGAGATAGGGGGCAGTAATCAAATCCCGTAAGTCCTATCTAAGGGTGTGCAGGCAGAAGGGAGAGGGCACAGCCTGCACCTCCTCTCAGCTTTTTCTTCCTCTCTGCTGCTTTGTCTACTCCTGTTGGCAACACAGAAAGCTGTGTGGGTTCCCAATTTGTCCTTAGCAACCAATGACGTAAGGGGTAGAGACAGCAGCAGAGAGGAGGAGGGAGGAGGTGAGGGCTGTGCTCTCTCCCACCTGTCCATACAAAGTAGTTAACACAGAATGCTCTCGGATCAGACTGTAATGGTTAGGCGAGATTTTTGTCCTGTTGCTGTGGCACCCCTGAGGACTTTTTATGGCACCCCAGGGTGTTTTAAACCCCCCCCCCCCCCCGGTTGAGAAAAGCTGCACTAAATTCCCTTGCAAACTGAACAGTGTATTTGCCTTTTGTAAATCAACCCATTAAACTTTCAGTTTTGTGATTAGTGTTGAAGAAACCTTTTCTAAAAGAAAAGTATGTATTTCAGTCCTACTACCACTCTTTAATTATCCCATGTCCACAAGAAAGCTAAAGTAGATTTTATATTAGTATTTGAACATAGGTCAACTTCAATAACACACTGTTATTATGAATGTTATGAAGGATATGCATTTTTTTGCAATGAAGTCTTTGGCATATTTCAAAAGAAACAAGGCATCAATAATACAAAACACTACACATATTACAAATGAAAACCATTAAAGAACAGCTATGCTATATTGAGCTGTTGGCCTTTGATTTGCTTAACTATATGTCACAACTTTAAGTTGCATATATTGTTATAGCTGACTTCACTAACTGCATGTGTGTGTTTCTAGGTGTAGCGCTAATCCAAGAGGAGCCGCTTGTATTATTGCACAGGTCTCCCATTGCTTTGCACTGCAGCCAGGCTCAAAGTATTTTCCCCAGCCAGGTACACACACTCTTTCGCTCGTTGTCTTCAAATACCAGTCTAGGGGATGTTTGTTTTTGGAGTTTTATTGGATTTTTATTGGAGAACTGGGAATTGGGATGGAGAATTTAGCAGAATACTCCACAATGAGATCTATTCACACTGAGGACATCTAGTTGATCTCTTAGTTGAACATTTATGAATTCCTGTCTGAAAACCAATTGCAGACTTCTCTTTAATTTACAAAGATACAAGTAGTTTAGGAATGAGCAAAGTTCCTTTAGCTGTAGTAGTAGTTTCAGGGCTGAGCTCTTCACGTACAGGCCTTTTATGGCAGACTGTGGCAGTCCAAAAGTAATAGAACTGAGCAAGGTCCTTTGCAGTAGCAACAGTTGGACAAGCTCTTCAGAACACTAGTCAGTGTTCTCATTTTCCCAGACCCATGCTGACTATCAAGCACCAGAGGGGTAGAAAAGCAGAGGGGTAGAAAAGAGTCCCCAAGATCTCTCAGTGTCTGTACTCAGAAGTCCAAGGACTTAAGGGCAGCCTCCTTCCAATCTTGCAAGCAAATCTCTCCAGTGATACCAGACAGATCTTTGGCAGACAGCTCCCCTCAGTCAGCTTACTGTAGAACCAGGGTCACTCTTCCTAACCTCAGAACCTCAGGTCACCCACTCGAGGCCCACATGGCAACAAGTGCCAGACAAGGCAAGCCTGCCTCCACCCTGGCCTGGTGCAATCCTCTCCAGGGAAAGACGCTGAACCCATGTGCTCACAGAATATAAATACCACTCCCAGCATGCAGTGGGGCCACCCTACCCTGCAATTGACCAGGACTGTATCCATATTCATGCTGCTCATTTGCCTAGTTTCCTCCAAGGTTCTGGAAGGCTCCCATAGCTTCCTGAAGGCAAGTGGAACTCAGAAAAAACTCAAACAGCACCATAGCATCATGAGCAGACCTGACTAATCCATTAGAGCACTCTGTTAAGCAGAGAGCCCAATTAAATTTTCCTAACAGTCTCTCTGTGTGTGAGAAACACAGCTATACTTATCGTAACTATACAAATACTAGCACCTGACTAGGGGGGTGCTACATGGGCAAGACTGAAGGCTTTTGTTACGTGGGTCTCTGCTGCCGCCATCCTCTCTATCTGTCTCTATGAAAAGAGGTGCATCAATGTACAGATCTGCACATTTCCAGATTCAGAATTTAGTGTTTTGTGAACACCAACTTACTATAAAAGTAACAGGGTGATATTAAGCAGTGGAGTGACTTGGTGCCCCACAGTAGGTATTAATTTCAAGGTTAAATGTAGGTTTGAGGTGGATCCTTAGGATTTGTGTTTGAGACAAATTAAGAACTTTTGGTTGCTAAATTTGCAGAAAATAGGAACAACCAGTAATGCATGGCTTGGTCTTTGCCCCTGGTTAGCTTAGGCACAATAGCTAATAATTTGAATAAATAGACAACCCAGGCCCCTCACTAAAATGGGTAGGCTCACAGTAGTCATATTGTCAGTGTGTGTTGGAGCTGTTTGGAAAGGGGAATGAAAAAGACCCTTCTCACTGTATTTCTTTTTTTTTCTTTTTTTAATTTTGAAATTTGTACATGCCCCCTCCCCCTTCCATGGCAGCACCCTTTTTTTCACAGTAGACGTGCTTATTAGGCTTCCCAATGGCCAGACTTTGGTAACAAGATTCACACACCATAGACTTCAAAGGGATTCACAGCAAAGTTCGAGTTTGCAAAAGTTTGAGCAAAATAAAGCCTGTGAATCAAACTGGGCCTGCTGTACCTTCATCACTACCCTAGAGCAATGCATGAATTAAAATGCAAGCCTTGGGCAAGTAGGCAGAAATACTCTATATGGTGTTCTCTATATGCGGTTTAAGGCAGAGACATTATGGGCATTAAGACTTTCAGGTCCCTCTCCTATATTCTACAGTGCATTATGTTATGCATTGTATGTGCTGTGTAGGTTGAAGCGATGCATTTAAATTTAGTGAGGCTGCGACACCGAAGTCTATGTGACTATCAATCACTTTACACCTCACATGTGTCAGTGTTTTACAGTGGCTGTGAAATATTGGGCTCCCTATAACCAGCATGCACACAGAATAATCCACTGTTATATATGTGCAAATTTCCTAAGTTTTATATAACAATTTGGCTTTACAGTTTGTTGTAAAAAAAAAAAATCATTATATTCTTTTTTACAGGCTTGGCTTTCTAGACTTACTAAAACTCAAATATTTTTACCTGAATTGTTTGAAATCTCTCTAGATTCTAGTCACTGATATGTTTTTCTTTAAACTGGAATTTATTTTTTAATGTTAATTTATAAACCATGAGTTTGGGATACAGCTAGAAAAAAAATTAGTTTATTATATAATTTGCCAGATATTGTAAATATTAAGGTGAGGTGATGAGCTTATATATAAACCTATTGCCTCTGGGGGTGCGGATTAATAAAAGGTGTCTGAGACAAGTTCCATCACAGCTGGTGCTATTGCCTATAGCAACCAATCATCTGCTAGCTTTCATTTTTTTTCCACGCAGCCTAGAAATTTAAAATATAAAAGCCAGGGGCGGACTGACAACTCATGGGGCCCCCGGGCAATAGGGGATCATGGGGCCCCTGTGTCCTTGCCCAAACTCAAAAAAGCCTATGAAAAAGGTACCAGGAGCATCGCATGGGGCCCCCTACTGACCCTGGGCCCTCGGGCAGAGCCCGAGTTTCCAAATGGTCAGTCCCCCCCTGATAAAAGCTGAATGGCTGTGCTCACGTTGAGACAAAGGGCTTGATTTACTAAAGGCAAACAGACTGTGCACATTGCAAAATGCATTGCTCCAGAGCTTAGTAAATGAGGAAAAGCTTCATTTTGAAAAGAATGAAAAATAGATTGATGTTGCACTGCCAATTCTGCTCCTAGTTGTAATTTGAAAACCAACCGAGGTTTCTGTATTGGTGTGCCAAATATCCACCTCCCAACTGCTCAAGGTGATACAAGAAGAGTGCTGCGTGGACAATCCTACCTCCAACTGGAGTCAACTGGAGTTAACCAATACTGTGTGACACTGATTGATGTGCTATAGTGCACCTCCCCCCACCTCAAAATGTAGAATGCTCTATATAACCAACTTGAAAAATCAAAACAACACGTCAAACTAAAAATTGAATGAACGAAATAACATAAAGGTAGAATAAAATTAGTAAATCAACCCCAAAGTTTATTTTATATATATATATATATATATATATATACATATATATATATATATATATATATTAGCTCACTTTGAAAAAGTAATCCTTTTAGCTTGCCCTGCTTACATCAGACCCTACCATTCCCATTCAACGTTCATAATACCTTACCTCTAAGGCCGGAGCTCCTCAGATTGTTTTTTGGGAGCAAAAATTATTACAGTCCATCACTTTTAACTAAAACAGAGCAAAAACATTTCTTTGATACACAGCACTTTAATGAAGAGGTGAGAAAACTGATAGCTTGCTGGCTATGGTATTTGCTACCTAGACATAAACTAGTTATATCACTCTTATTGAGGGAAAGGATGTGACCTTAGACAGTTCTACTTCACATATAATGAGTATATTTCACAAGAACACATTACAACTGTAGCAATGACTCCAGATAAAGCTGCTAGATTTGGGGGATTTTTCCCTACTATTGAGTAGTGACCTACCCTATAGCTTCACCCAGAATCTCAAAGGCCCTCCAGTAGCATCAGACAGTCTTCAGATCCTTCAGTTTACCTTTGCAGAATGTATTGGATCAAACCTCTAGGGAGAGAGAGGTTTAGGGGTACAGGATACCAAAAGCAGCATTGAAATGTCCTCCACTCATTAGTATTCTCTGGAATATTTACTTACTTCTGCCACAGGCTAATGTAGAACTCTGTAGGCTCAGAAAGGCATTTACCTTTAGGTAACTTTTGCGACAGACCTGGTCAGGACCCTGGTCAGACCTATCATGACATCAACTGCCCACCTCAGCCAATCAAAAGAAGCCTTGTATTCATTCATAAAACTGAGGCTTCCTATGAATGGCTAAGCAGTGCTCAGCTCAACTCAATTTTGTTCTGGGAATGGGACACGAAATCCCTATACTGCTGCTGTATACTGTATATCTGTATACTGAATATATGGGCATATATGTTACTAAAGGAAAACGTTTGTTTAGACTAACTTGGCTCAAATTAACTAGCTAAAGTCATAGTAAACCTGGAGGTAGGCTTTAGTCCTCATGAAATGTTTGCAGCTGCTGTTTTTGGCTTCTGACATTTTTTTTCTACAGCCAGTAAACCTCCCAGCATGTTATCCTATGTGTCCATGCACACATAGACTGTAATCAAGGTTTTTTGGCTGGGACATTTTTTGACTGGAAAAAAAACCCAGAACTAGTCGGTTTCTAGAGGAGTTTTTTAGCTGTAAAAATGCTCTAACGCTGAAAAAACGCTGAAAAACGTGGGAAAACGCTGCAAACCAGCATTTTTGGATTTTTTTTACCAAAAAAAAATATTTTTACTGGTAAAAAAATGCTAAAAACAGCAAACGTGGAAAAATGCCGCTAATCGTGGCTAAACGCTAAGGCAAAAACGCCAAAAAAAAGCTGAAAAGCACATGTTTTTAACATGACTTTACACAGCTAACGTTACCAGCGTTATCAAAATGCCCAGTGTGCATGGAGCCTTAATACCACTTCCAGGGCCAGAAAGCAATCTTTTTTACCCACATGAGCTCTGGAAGATTATACCCCCTTCATGACCAGGTCATTTTTTGCTATTTAGCACTGTGCTAAAAGTAATTTAACTGGCAATTCTGCAGTCATGCAACACTGTACCCAAATTAAATTTATATAATTTTGTTCACACAAATAGAGCTTACATTTTGTTGTAGTTGATCACCGCTGGATTTTTTATTTTTTATTATAGAAATGAAAACAGACTGAAAATTTAAAAAAAGCAATATTTTTTATTTCTGCTATAAAACATATTCAGTAAAAAAAATCAAATGTCTTCATAAATTTAAGTCAAAACGTATTTTGCTACATGTCTTTGGTAAAAAGAAAAAATCCAATAAATTTATGTTGATTGGTTTGTGTGAAAGTTATAGCTTCTACAAACTATGCTATATATGCTAGAATTTTAATTTATTTATTTTTATGCTAGTAATGGACTTATAGTGGGACAGTGATAGTGTTCCGGGCAACCTGACACTAACTGACACTTTGTGGGAACTGACTAATTGCCACTGACATCTCCAGTGATACTAATACAGTGATCAGTGCTAATAATATACACTGTCAATAATGACACTGCCTGGGAAGGGGTAACATCTCGGGGTAATCAAGGGATTACTTGTGTGCCTAACAATGTGTAATGTGTGTAATATGTGGTGGTTTTTACTACAGATAAATTTGTTTCCTTTCTCTGCTTCTTTCCCTCTGTATAGAGCCCTGTGCTGTTTGGCTCTGGGCTGTGATTCAACACAGCTGATCAGCAGGTCCTGGCTATGTCAAATCACAGAGGAGTAGGCGGTTAGTGGCGCGCATACCAATGGTGGACTGACCATTTGGAAACTCGGGCACTGCCTGAGGGCCCGGGGTCAGTAGGGGGCCCCTTGAGATGCCCCTGGTACCTTTTTTCATAGGCTTTTTTGAGTTTGGGCAAGGACACAGGGGCCCCATGATCCCCTATTGCCCGGGGGCCCCATGAGTTTTCAGTCTGCCCCTGGTGCATACGCATCCGAAACTCAGAAACAGGCAGTTTCGTATGCTGGGCCTGTAGGAGCTGTCCCATCGCAATATATATACTCCAACAGGTTGGTAAGCAGTTACACTTGGTGTTTCATTATTTCCTATGGCAAATCCTGCATATCTGAGTTTGCTCTCCCACCATGTATTATGTTTCATATACAGTATATATACTTTTAGTCACCTTTCCAATTGTTTATTTTTAAGTCTCCGTTTTTGTTTATTTGTTCACTGTCTAATTGTATGATTTGTTTTAGGAAAGTATGCAAAATGTAAAGTATACCTTGCCTACTCTACCTTAAAATAAAATGTTTTGGCTAAAGGTATACTTTAAGACACGTTCCCAATGAAAGCAAAACAGGTAAAATGAAGCAGGTTGGAAAATGAATCAAGAAAATAATAAACTTGAACATTAGAGCTTAAAGCAATTGATTTTACATGCTTTGAGTTCATGTATGGTTAAAGTAAGGACACAATAAATATTAATGAATTATAGAAAAAAGCTTGACACAAAAATGTTATTATCCTTACTTGAAGTTAGCGTGATACTGTACTACAGTGATCTTTTATTGTTCAATGCCCAGCAAGGGGACAAGTACCATCCAACTGGCACTAACCAATTGGCACAAGCCAAAAAAACATAATATAATTTGCATTGGCCTGCAGCAAGTTGAAATTGGCAGAAAAAAAAATAATTTGCCTTGGCAGAATCTCATAAGCAGTGACAAATGCAGAGAAGTGCAGCTGCTCTGGTTATGATATATATAAATGGGCACATTTCGGATGTTCCCGCAATGCTTTGTCCTAATTGATGAATATTTGTATAGACTCTGAAGGGGTTATTTACTAAAACTGCATAAGGAAAAATCTGGTGCAGCTCTGCAGAGAAACCAATCAGCTTCCAGGTTTTTTTTTTTGTCAAAGCTTAATTGAACAAGCTGAAGTTAGAAGCTGATTGGCAGCCATGCACAGCTGCACCAAATTCTGAGTGCATAAGTTTTCGTAAATCTTTCCCTGAGAGCCTTTGCCACATACGGACAGTACCCACAATTCAGCTTCTCAATGCCCTCAGAAGAAGTGGAATGGAGAATGGAGCTCCATTAAAGAGATTTCTCCTCATTTGCTGTCTTGTTAGCAAAGATAAGGGATGAGCTGGGATTCAGTCCAAAAGTTTGAAGTTTGCTGTCATCTCTGGGCCAGTAAGCTGTGAGTAGGAGATTCTCCACCCAGCAGTTGCATGGATACCACCACCACCATTCTCTCCCATACATGTGCCTGTGTTGGCCAGTCTTGA